ACTACAGGGAGTTCAGCGTACATGCTGCTTGGGTATAAGTGGTGTCATGTGTACTACTTCAACCAAGGCTCTGGAAACGTTGCTAGATATTCCACCCATTGAAACATATATAAGATATGAGGCGGCGCTTACAGCCGAACGGCTCTTTACTTTAGGCGAACTGGCCAAAAACGGTTATAGGACACGTCATCAATGTATACTGGACACATTGGAAGGTTATACACATTCATCGGACGTGCCTGATCGCATACCAGACACTGAATATGTCGGAAACTTTGAAACGCTAATCCCAGATAGAATGTCTTGGTCAAGCGGAACATTAGAGCAAATACCAGTAGGAATCCGTTGCTACACGGATGGCTCTAAATTAGGGGACAAAGTGGGTCTGGGGTTCTATATTGAAGACCCAGAAACAGAAATATACCACCGTTTACCTAATCATAACACAAGCTTCCAGGCAGAAGTACGAGCAATAACGGAATGTGTAAATTGGATTAGAATAAATATGGCGCCCACAGGGCTTAATATATTTACCGACAGCCAGAAGGCAATTTGTGCGATATCAGGTGATAGAATTAAATCTAAGACCGTATTGGATTGTAAGAAAGCTTTAACTGAATACTCTCCCAGAGGTAAGGTTCACATCATATGGGTACCAGGCCACTCGGGAGTAGCCGGCAACGAAAGGGCGAATGTAATAGCTTTAAAGGGAAGGGAGCTCGATGTAGTTAACCTGACAAACGCAAAACCATTCGACGCAACAAAAGCTGAATTAAAAATATGGATGAGAGAATCCCATAAGGCCTCTTGGAATAATGAAACGGTGGGTAGAACCACAAAGATTCTATGGGGTGACCCTGATGAGAGCAAGACGAGAAATCTTCTCAAAATGAGCAAGTCTGAGGTTAGTATGATGGTACGTATTCTCAGTGGACACACAGGATTACGAGCACATCTATACAAAATTGGACGTGCGAATTCAGACGAATGTAGAGCATGTGGAGAGGACAGTGAAACTCTGGAGCACTTTCTTTGCCATTGTCAGGCATTCGTCGAAGTTAGATCCAAGTATCTTGGAAGTGATGTTATTCCAGAAATAACATTCTTAACCAACACCGATTGGAAGATTCTTAGGAATTACGTCCAGGAAACTGAGTTTCTGAACATGGAAAAATAATACATTCAGTGAACAATTTTTTTTTTTTTTTTTTTTTTTTTTTTTTTTTTTTTCTTGAATTGGAGCGCACAACAGGCCCGATAGTGGCCTAGGTGTATTTCTTCGGATTTGATGTAGTATACATCCTCCTATCAACCTACCTACCTACCTACCTACAAACGGAATGACAAAAACAAGTAAGAAAGTATAGTCGGGCGTGGCCGACCATATGATACCCTACACCAGTTATGAATATTAAATGTGATTTATTTTTCATAATATCGCATTTATCTTCAATATTCCCTTGTTCCGATACATTTAAGCAATTTATGGATGAAAAACTAATTTTCTGAAAGAGGCTTTATATGGGGGCTAGGGGCAAATATGGACCAAGCCCGATACAATTTTGTGAATATATTTATATTTACATAATATTTTATTGTGCTGAATTTCATCGCGATATTTGTGTTTATAAGTTAATTTGGGACATTCAAGTAATTTTCTGAAGGGGACTTTGTATGGGAGCTAGGGTCAAATGGGGCCCGATCTTTATGAAATTTGGCAGGGTTATCAAGACTTCCATAAAACTTAGTTGTGCCGTATTTTATCGATATATCTGTATATTTAACATAATTATGAGCTCAGAAGCCCTTTTCGGGCGGTTCTGTTCTATGGGGGCTAGGTGAAATAATGGACCGATTTTAACCATTTTCAATAGGCTTCGTCCTTGGGTCAAATAAAACGTGCGTGCCAAATTTCATCCAATTATCTTGAAAATTGCGACCTGTAGCTTGCGCACAAGGTTTACATGGACAGCCAGCCAGCCAGACGGACGGACGGACGGACATAGCTTAATCGACTCAGAAAACGATTCTAAGCCGATTGGTATACTTTAAGGTGGGTCTAGGACGAATATTTTTATATGTTACAAACATCAGCACAAATCCAATATACCCTCCCCACTAAAGTGGTGTAGGGTATAACAATATACCCCCTTTCTTTTTTATGGTTGGTATAAAAAAACTCAACCAAAATTCAAAATGAAATTTAATAAATATTAATACATAGGATAGATAGCACGTCTAAGCCCCGAACGTTGATATGGAATTCAGTATTAAGCATGCAATATTTAAAGATTATGCCTCCTAAAAATTCCCAGATACACGAATTTTTGTATTAAATTCACATGGGAGGAGACCGGCCCTCCATTGCAATTCCTCGCAGTATCTTACCAAATGTTCACAAGGACATCAAAGTTCTTCATGCTAAACTTGAGGATTCAAGCTTTAATTATTAAATACTAATTATTGCATTTAATTGATATGGGAGGTGCCACACCCCCTGACGTACTATATAACCATTTTTGTATTAAATTATTCATTACTAAGGTAGTAATATTGATTACTAAGGTGGTTCTTTTATAAGGAAGATGTCATGCCCACTATTGCTATAGATTTTTTCGATTTGGACGCGGTTTTAGTCTTTAGTAGCTTATAAGGTGATTTTGAATGTCATTTATTCTCACTTTCCTATTAAACTTCAGATTAATATTTGGAATAGAACTTATGTCAATTCTGTAAGAGGGTTTATATGGTGGTTAGGGTCAATTATAGACCGATGGACATAATATTTGGTAGATAAATTTCGGTTCGTATAACACCTATTTGTTTCATAACTGTACTTATATTTTTAAGCCAGCAATGAGCGTTAAAGTAATGTTCTGAATCGAGTATCGAGGATCGAGTATTATGGACCAATCCTCTGAAACTTTTATAGAACGATTTTGGTTCATACAAAACTTGTATAAGTCGAATTTCATCCCGTATTTTTATGCCAGCAAGGATCGTTGAAGTGATTTTCTAAAGGAGACTTGTATGGGGGATAGGGTCAATTAGAGAGCGATTTTGGTTCATAAAAACCTTTTTTATGTCGAACTTCATTTCTTCACTTTTAAGACTGAATGAGAAGTTATAGGGTCAATTATAGACCGATCCTCATTAAATTTTCTAGAGCAATTTACAATTTACTTGTTTATGTCGATAACTGTACTCGTATTTTTAAGGCAGTAATTAGGGTTAAAGTAATTTTTTGAAGGGGACCTTAATAAGAGGTAGGGTCTATTATGAACCCATCCTCATTAAAATAATTTTGTGTCGAATTTCATCATAAAGTAATTTTTTGAAGAGGACTTTATATGGGGGGATTGGGACAACCGATCCTCATTGAATTGGTTATAGAGATTTTGTCTCGTATAAAACTTATTTATATTTTTTCAACGAAAGCGAATATTTGTGGAAAATTTCAAGCCTCTAGCTTTTCCGTTGGGTCTCTATAGTGCTTTCAACAAACAAGCGGACGGCCATGACTATATCATCTTTGAAGCACGCCGTTTTCTCTCCAAAACTAATGCGTTCATTCTGTTAAACGTGTAAGAAATCATTTGAACAGTTACGAAATGTATAGTTTTTACAAAAAGGATATTTATCTCCCAGGACAGCGGGACAGTTCGAAAAACAAAAATTGGAGGCAACTATAAAGATTGTTGTCAAACTCAATACAATCTCTTGCAACATCATTGTATGCTACTGAAGCAGTAATTTTGCGAGCAGCAGCATGCTAAACGATTTTAAATCAAAAGGCCTTGTAAGACGATATTGCGTTTCCGAAATTCTGCTTGAAAGTTATAATAGAAAAACACTTTGGCACAGAATCTTTACTTGCGATGTAAAATGGATCCATTACGGTAATCAGAGCTGCTCGGCCAACTAGGTGAATCGACACCAAAGCCAAAACGGAATCGAAACAACGACATAAATCAGAATATGGTCGAGCATGACCGACTATACTTTCTTTGAAAATCATAAGATTATAATTCAATCTTTAAGAATTATAATCTTATGATTTTTCAAAGATTTTTTTTATATTTTGATTAATGTCTCATATATGACTTGCAATTTGTTATATTGTACAACAATTATGACTTGATGACAACAAATCAATTCACTTTATTCTTATGAAATCAAAAATACTCTTATACTAAATTAGACAAAAGGAAAAAAGTAATGACACGTGGCCCACTTTGGTTGTCTATTAAACTAAACATGATGCATCAATTTCAAAGGATATGAGTAAAAATCTAACAATTTTAGATTTTTAAAAAAAAAAAACAATGACACATTTATGGGATCAAAGATCAACTTTTGCATGAGTAAAACATTTGTATTCATCATCATCCTCTGCATCAGTAGCATCATCATCATCCGTGTTACACAAACATAGAGAACAAAGAGAATAGTAGAACAAAGTATTTCTTCTATTTATAAATTGAATACAATATGATAATGATGCCTTTTTGTAGTTTTTAGAAATACATTTTACTAAAATTCATATTACGAATCTGTAAATTTCTAAGAAAAAGGAAAACGTGTTTTAAACTCTGAAAATGCCAACTAAACAACAACCCCTTTGAAGAGGAAATTGGTTTACTTTTTCATTTATCTTTAGTAGAAACAGTGACAAACAGAATTTTTTGCAGCAGTGATAAATAAAAGTCGTGTGTATGATAAATTTGTTATTCCAGGCAATTGATTTTTAAGAGGGGGTTGTTAATAGTTTTAGTTAGTTATGAAAAATACGTAGCGTATGTATTAATTGTTATAATCATTGTTTTGATTGTTGCATAATGTATATAGAAGCGAAAACATTTCAATTATCACTGTCATGGGAACTCGTGTTGGCCACAATTCTCAAAATCAAGTACCTTACAAAAATTTATAAAATTACTTACAAAATAAAACTTTAAGCAGAACTAATTTTTGTTGTTTTTTTTATAAAAAAAGTTTAATTTCGTTACACTTATTTATTTAGAATACATAGAAAATAGTAAACCTACATTGTGTTAATTTGTTGACCATGAAATGCCTAAAATATGATTGTTACAAGTCTTGAGAATTTTATTGTTTATTATTAAATTTAACTTAAATATCTACGCTTTTTCAAATTCCACTTCAATGCTCAAGGGCAATTCATCTTGCACTTCGGGAGCATGTACTTTACCCGATACCAAAACGAAATCCTTCTCACAGTCCATTACGAAATAGGCGAATGGATGGTTAATTTCAATTTTCTCCAATGATTCATTATCTCTAGCCTGAGTATTAGAGGCAGAGAGAGCAATATTTGAACTACCTCCCTCATCGATTCTAACGTTAACGAATTGTACAATTTCATCCACGTGTAAATCACGATCATCAGAGAGTAGACTTAAGTCGGCATCATTGCGTGAGAAGAGTTTTGTTAAACCCAGACTTTTTAGCATAGATTCGGAACGAGATGTTTCTTCTATTTGGAATTTGGGTAAAACAATGTGTAGATCTTGTTCTTTCATTTGATGTTTGGCCATTTTCAAATCACTGGGTTCCAGTTTGGTAATGACCGAGTGTAGACCTTCTAGATCATTAGGTAAGACGATCATTAAGCTGTATTTTTGATTCTGAAATAAGAAGATTAAAAATCAAGTAAAAAATGAGGAAAAGTTAATGAAATATATATGGAGTTATCAATGGTTTATTTTAGGTTTATTAAACAGGTTTCCACATGAAATAATCCACGAAAACACTTCTTCTGGTGAGTCAATTAACTAACTACTACTAACTAACTAACTAACTAACTAACTAA